ACACTGGACTGCTTCAGGTTCGGACTGTCGTCCTCCACCAACGGCCTGATCATCGGCGCCACAGTGATGGAGGGCTTTTATGTGGTGTTTGATCGAGTGCAGAAGAGACTGGGCTTTGCCCTCAGCACCTGTGCAGGTACAAACACTGTGACACACGGCAGTACTACACACACATCATCATCAGGTTAGATTAGACAAACTCACGCCTCCTGTTCTCACCCTGCACTCCCTCCACAGTGAGCGGGGGTCTGGCCCTGTCAGAAATAGCGGGGCCCTTCTCGGCAGCAGACGTGGCGTCCGACTGTTCCAGCAGCCTCCTGAAGGAACCGTTCCTGTGGATCGTGTCCTACGCTCTGATGGCCGTCTGCGCCTTGGTCCTCATCATCCTGCTGCTGCTGCTCATCCTGCCCTGCCGACGCAGGGACAACTTCGGGGAGATCACGGACGAGTCCTCGCTGGTCCGACACCGCATCCGATGACTGATGGGGCCTGGAGTGGGACGCGGGATGAAGGAGCAGGGACGCAGCACGCAGAGCACGTTCACGCCCGTGGAGAAGGACACGCGGCTCCGCTCTGCACGTCTGACTGACTCTAGACTGCACTCACCAGCTTGGCCCACAGAGGGAGACACAGAGGTGTCAGCTGACTGTCGGAGGGAAATTCAACCCTACGTAAAACACTTTTCGTTAGACAAGGCAATATATATGGCAAACATTGCCCCCTTGAGGGCTGATAAGATAGTGTGCTTAGAAGTGGGACACACTTAAACACAGGGTGATCATCGTCCTACTGTTGTGACGCCAGGGTAACAACAACAACAACATCAACAACAACAACATCAACAACAGTCAACATGGCGGTGGTTTCTTCACAGCGACATGAAGGAATCCAGAATATCAGAAGGTGAAAGGGTTAAAGTTCATGTCACGCAGCTGTTGTTGTAGCAGAGCTGACTTTTCCTGAGCTGTCACTGTTCCTTCTTCTAAATATCTCAGCTCAGTTCAGGACAGTTCCAGTCAGATGGACAGAATATGAGGCGTCACACGCTAAGTCAAGATGAAGAACAAAATCAAAGTAGTTTTGTGTTGCAGAAAAAAAGTAAAACCTGAAAGTTAGAATTATTTCTTGCACATAAAGAATCATAAGCGCAGGGCAAAAAGAGTGAAGGCAAGCACTAATGAAACAGTAAGCCAGCAGGGGGCGCACAGACAGAAAAATAAACAGAAAACAGTAAGCCAGCAGGGGGCGCACAGATAGAGAAATAGGTCATTTCCTTCTTCAAAGAAAATGTTATTTTTGAGGAGTTTAAATTGTTGCTCAGCATTTTTTTAGGTATTTATTAGAACACGTTGTCAAATATTTAAAGGAAAATATATGACATCACAGCAAAGAAGAACAGCGGCCATGTAAAAATGCTGGTCAAAAATGGACATCCCACGCTTTGATATAACTAACTATAAAACTGGAAACTGTTGGTGTGTTTCTCTAGAGGAATAAGAAAGTAAATCGTTAGCGCTGCTGAGCTTTAGCTTCAGACGTCTCCTCACAGCAGACTCTTTGTTACTAACAGACTTTTTCTGATACTTATATAATGTTGTATATTGAAGTTGAACCTCGAGTCTGAGTAAAGTTTGCGTCTCCTAAAGTGACAGGACGGAGCTGCTCGGTCAGTCGCTGTTCACAGACAGAACACTCCACGTTTGACCACCACCTAATGAAGTCCAAATGTTTTGAAGCTTAGTTTTGCTGAACTGCACTTTTTTCACTGTCAATCAGTGTAATGTGTAATGAAGATCAATATTCCTACAACTCTGTTCAAGGTGTTTTCATACGAACACCAACAGCACACAGTGTATTTACATTTAGACGTTAGAAAATTCTTATTTATACAACTGACACAAAATGACTTTAGAAGCCAAATCGGTGATGATTGCACCACTGTGTCCTGCGGACTGCACGTTTCTATGGGATGTATGAAAATAAAAGAAACTACACAATGCCTTAAAATCCAGAGACTGTTGCACAATGGACATGAAACCAGTTGTTGCCTTTTGAGCCGACAATCCTGTGATTTGAGCTGCATGAACTTATCACTCTTTGCCAAAATGTAAAAATAGAAAAAATGTTCCATTGATTGTAAACTTGAATGTTTGGTTATTTATATGTCTTTATTTGTTTTCTCCATGTGCCAAATTTTATTTGAGCTGTTAATAAAAATCTATGATCAAATGAAAATGTATTTGTCACGAGTCATGAGTTACTGAGATAGGGAAGAAAAACTGGATGTGGTTTATTGGCGACCTCTAGTGTCTACACATGGGACCTCCCAAACGTGAATGAAAATCCACATATTTGCATAGAACGGACATTCAGAACAGAATAGAATTGCAAAATATGAAGCGGCTTTATTATATTTAAACCAGAGGTTTCCACGGGGAGTCCACGACCTCTGCAGGGCATGCAGCAGTACTGCATGAGGATTATGATATTTTGGGTTCTCCCTTTTTCTTTTTTTGAATACAGTATGTTAAAAGTTAAAAAACAAGTATATTAATGTGTGTATTATTTGCACAGTTTGGTATCAAAAACATAATTACAGTGTAAATTTCTAAAAGACTAGTTAAATAATAATAAACTGTTTTATACACAGTATATAGCAGTGTGTCTATTTTTACAGGTTTATGATCCTAACTTTCAAGACCCTTTTTCAAAACAAAACCATCTAAAACTACGACAATACTGTACTACAATAACAAGAATACTTCACAGAATATAAGTTACTGACTTGATTACTTGAATATGTGGAGTAAATATCAAACATTTCCGCTCCTCCCTTCAGTCATCTTGATGCTTCTGTAAAAAAAAAAAAAACTTTGTTTATTTTAAAAACAACAAATGATAGATTTTTATCAGCGTTATATTGGATTGATTGAAGGAAGTGTAATTTAAATTCAAACAAAAACACACTCAAAAAGATTGTTTCATGTTTTTCATATGATGCAATACTATTGTTTAGCTTAAAAAAATGTCAGAAAAATAAGCAGCAAGGAGCCATTGAATGAGCAGTGTTTAAAGCTGCTGTTGTCTCAGAGTTTCAATTTACTCACAATTTACCTGGTGAGTGTGAAACTCGGGCCTGTTTAGTTGAAACAACACTGATTTACTTGCAGGAATTGAAGAAAATCAGAAGAACATTTTCAATAGCTGAGTTTCTCTCTTTCATTAGTTTTTACAGCCATTTGCTGCCCCTAGTGGAAGAGTATGTCAATGCTCTTTTCTGTGAAATTGGATCATTTTTCTTCACGGTCCCTCATGGAACATATATAATAGGACTAACCTCCCTTTCAGTTTAACCTGTTATTGAGTCATCAGAGTTTTTACCTTCATCTGATCCTGAATCCACTCTAGAAAAAATGTGACATTTCCAAAAACTCCAGGCTTGTTGGTCTGGACACAGTTTTCACCCCAAATACTGTCCCCTACCAGCCACCACAGGCCGTCGGTCAGCGACACCAGAGGACCCCCACTGTCGACCTTCAATAATGAGGAGAACACATGTGAGTGGACTTAACTTCCTCCACTGTTGGAGAATCTCTTTGTGTGGAAAACACACAGAAACTGGTATATAAAAAGTTTACAAAACTCCTAAAAACAAGGGTTTGGTTCATGTCGACCAAAACCTCAGGTCGATATCAAGAAGATAAATGTTATTGATTCATTTTTAAACAGATTGGCACTGCTCTGGGTGTATGTTGTTCAAGCACACAGTACAGCACTTGTTTAAGTTCAGCTCACAGCGACTTACATAAGAGCATGAAGATGCTTTGGATTCTTTCACCAACTGGGACTGTGCTCTGAGTTACATGAGAAAACCCCTTCATACACTAGAAATATGAATGAAGGAGTGCTTTATTTTTCATTTGTGAGATGACTTTGTCTTTTTATGTATTTAACACTGAAGAACACCCACTGGAATGTCATTCACACCAGAAGAATAAATGTAACTTTGTTATTATCTGGTAAAAGAAAACAGTGTTGTCTTTTTCTTACATGGCACTTGTTTGTTCCTGCTTCTGTCTCTCTGGTACACAGCATGTCCTGTGACAGTTTGCCACCGTAGGCTGTGGAGCTGTTGCACTTTGAAATATCAATGAGAGAGACTTGAGTCTCTGTCAGGTGAGCAGATGAAAAGTCTGTCAAAAAGACAAAGAAACAAACATTATACTCAGTTGTTTTTTTAAATCTTAGATTCAAATTCGCTAAAAAATACTTAACAGGAAGATGAATAATTTAAACAACAACACGTAAAAAACAATATATGAAGACTTTGTCGCCCTCTGGTGGTAGCAACACGCAGCGACATTCGAGATCGTTCATTTTCAAATCATGCGTCGGTTTGAATCACACCACGGTGTGGTATGTGGCCGACGTCGTCTCACCTCCAGCTGTAGTGAGAACATATCTCGTGATCCAACCTGTCTGGGGAGCAGCGAAGTTCAGACCGGCGGCCGGGAGGCAGACAGGTCTGACCTGACTGGAGCCTGTGACAGAAGACGACAACGAGCTGAAAACATCGGACAGAAGACGACAACGAGCTGAAAACACCGGCCTTCTGCCACTACAACTGTACATTTACTGTGTACATTTACTGTGTTAAATGTAAACCAATCATCGTTAATTGCAGTCAGTCAATAATTAGTCTTTGAGGTCGGCGGCACCTGTAGAGTCCACTGCTTTGCTGAGCCTCATCAGAGCGACGTCATTGGTGCGGGTCAGGTGGTTGTAGTCTTGATGTGCGATGACGTGACTCACGGACCGGGCAGGGTTGAACAGAGAGCCCAGTGGATCCACGACACCAGTGTACACGGCCCAGGCAGCAGGGTCAGAGGCTCTGATTGGTCGAAAATAAAAATAAAACTGCTGATTACACCAAATGACTTTAATGAGAAAAGAAAAAAAAAACGTAAGGTGTAAAGACCTCACCTGACCACACAGTGTGCTGCAGTCAGTATCCAGTAGGGGGAGATAAGAGCTCCTCCACAGCGGTGAGAGCCTGAACGCTGCAGACTGACGTGCCAGGGCCAGGAGCCTGGGGAGGCCGGCTGGGCCCCCAAGGACCTGCTGGAGTTCACTCCTCTGCCGCAGTCTGAGGAAGGAAGTGACGTCACTGAAGACGCACATTACACTGCAGCACAGACTATGACGTCAGAGTGGACCACGTTCTGACCTGTTATCAACGTGTTTATTCTGGAGTGAACTTTGAAGACAAATATTGTATAATATTGTGTAATATTGCAGTAAAACAACTTGTTAAAGTATTTGAGACAATATAATTACAACGTTATAATTACAGGACATTTCTAAGAGACCACTAGTGGGTCCATGGTGGTACTACACGATCGTCAAATCTTTCAAAATTTTAAGTATGGGAATGTATTTTGTACATTTTTATTAATATATGAATCAGTGTGAGTTTTGAAGTATTGAATACAAAGTTGTACTGGAGGCAGTTCTCAAAATAAAGAAGTCTAGATCAACATACCAGTACACTGTAGAGTCACCACACTGTTGTTGGGACAAACTTTGCTGCAAAAAGCACACAATTATTATTATTATTATTATGACAAAACTAGTCTTTTAATTTGAAGTTCTTTCTATAAGTGTGTGTCTCACCTGTGAACGAGCTGCTGGAGGATGAAAGAATCAGGGTTCAAACCAGACTTCACCTTTAGAAATCCTTCATCAGAGTCGCTCGTCTGTTCGCCTGATTTATAATAAGTGTCTCTGCCAGAAAAACCAAACAACAACAACAGTTTAGTCTCCGTACTGAGCCGTGTGTCAGAGCGACACACGGCTGCGTCTCCTCACCTGCTGTAGCCCAGGCTCCTGCAGCTGGATCTGCTCTGCTGCTGCGTCCAGTCCTGAGAGCAGACGCTGCTCCAGCTGTCGGTCTGGGACGAGTACATCTGCATTGTCTGTACACACACACACACACAGGTAAATAATCAGTGTTTTTACCACAGTTGGCTTCGTCCTGACCAGCAGGACAGTCCCTGACCCCATCACACCACTCAGACTCCCACACACAGCTCCCATCACCACACTGACGTCCGTGTGCACAGGGGGAGGAATCTGGGAGGGAGAGAGGGGAGATCTGTGAGAGACAGGAGTAAAATACAGTGCACAGTAGTTGACGGTGCAATTCCCACACTCACAGTAATAGGCCAGGAGGATCCCAGTGACCAGGAGCAGGAGGAGCAGGCAGACGACAGCCGTCACTGTGAACTTCACACACCTGTGTTTGAAATCTGACAACACACACACACACACACACACACACACATCATTAGTATTAAACCAATTCCATTAGAATTTCCTGGAGCCAGATTTAAAATCTTGTTTACAGTTAAAGACTTTTGGAGTTACACAGTTATAATAAGCTGATTAAAATAAAAATAATATGTTTTCTTAGCTACAGTAAATATTACTTTTAAGCAGTAATAAATGAACCTACCTTTACGTTTGGTGGTGGGGGGGCTGACCTCAGGTGGAGGTTTGGAGGCCAAGTGGTGGACATACTGGGGCATCACATCTGCCCGTGGCGGTGCAGAACCTCTCCAGTCACGGTCTTCGTGGATGAAACACCGACCTGTGTCCAGAATCTGTCAGGAAAGATGTCCAGTAAATCTTAGACATCCTACTGGACCGGACCGGACCGGACCGGACCGGAGCGGAGCGGTGTGAGTGGAACAGATCAGAACAACTCACCAGATTGGTCTTCATTTTCCCTGACAGATGAGTGCAGTAGAATCCACCTGTGGATAACTCAGAGCAGTTCCTCCCAGCCCCAGGACTGAAGTGACGTTCCTCCTCACACCTCACCCTCCTGCTGTGTTTGCCCGCCTGCTCACACCCCACACTCCATCGGCATCTTTTTGTCTTTGAGTGGCCGTCCTGAGCACACAACACACACAATGAGGAGTGTTGGTCTGAACTTCTCACACACTGTTGTCACCAACATTCTGTGGAGTCAGTGGAAAAGTACTTCATCACTGCTGGTCAACTCTTTCAGCTTCACTCCTGGGGTCAAAGGGTGACAACAGTTAGAATTCATTCATCTGCTTGGTTTTTTTTCTTGGATTAGAATCAATGATTTAATTTTTTTGTTTGTGTCAGGGATCACACTCTTTTCCTCCAGGATATTTTCAGCTCCAACAGGAAAGAACAAACTGGTTACTACATCATACTCTGCTAATGCATCAAAATGTATTTTCTACAGCTGTACTTTCCATCATTTCCTCAGATTATTTTTATGTTTATGAAATAACTCACCAGCCACACAGTCTAGGACAGGGTCCAGTGCTAGGATCTTAACCAAAAGTCAACATGACATTATTATCATGTGACAACAAATGTTCATGATTAAAACGTTGAACCTGATTTCATTTACCTACCTGCAGGGGGAGCCAGAGAAGACAGATGAAAATGTCACTACAGTTTATTCTCCTTTTCCACTGGTTTTTCCATGTCTGGAAAAATTGTTGTTTCAACTTCAGTTGTTTTTCAGGACCTGTGAAAACCATCATCACAAATATATCAGATATTATCAGTGTTTTCACTACAGTTTATTCTTCATTACACCTTTGTCCCACATCGTAAACACATCCACGTCCAAATAAGGCAGGAAAAAAAAATCAGAAAACTGCAGGTAATTCAAGGGTTTAAAGGACTCAAGTGTCTTTGAGATGAGTTTGGTCGAGTTGGACTTTTCTGGTCCATCTTTATTATCGGAGCACATTCACGATACTGGTATAAAAGCTACACAGCTAGTTTTATGAGATTAAAGTGCAAAGTTTGTACCGTCCGGTGCAAATGAAATAAAATGAACAGTCTTTATTTTAAAAAGGCGATCAGAAAAGGTGTCGGTCTCCTCCATGGCATCGGCACAGCAGCGCCCCCAACTGTCGGGGAGGAATCGTGATTTGATTCTGCAGAGACAGACTCTCAGGTCTAGACCCAGGCCTGCCACCCTGGGAAGAGTCTGCTGAGGTTCTTGGGGTCCATGGCTTGTTGGATGAGCAGGTTGACCTGCCCCCCCACACTGAGCACCGTGCCCTCCTCCACCCCCTTCAGCTTCTCCTGGAGCCGCAGCAGCACCCGCTCTGCCACCTTGTTGAAGCTCTGACTGTCGCTGTCAAACACAGACACAGCGTTTACAGGAAGATACGTTTAAAGGACTTTCCTACACACAGGTGTACGTTCAACCCCTCCCTCCCCCGTACGACTCACCCGCACTGACGCTGGTTGACCATGTTATCTCCCCCCATAGTGGAGCTCAGTGTTGCGTTGAGCTCCTGCTGCTCGTCGTGCTGCAGGTAGAAGGCCTTCAGGGGGTTCATGGTCCAATCAAAGAGGGGGTCGTACAGCAGCACCTGGAATACCAACCAATCAGCACATTAATAATGATGATGGTGATAACAGATCATTATTATTATACTGTGTCTGCATATCTGTGTGTTTGACCTCGACGATGGTCAGCAGAGCTTCCTGTGAGCTTCTCATCACCTCCATGGTCTTTTCACAACACCTGATGGAACAGAAATTTAAAATAATGAATATATTGAAAATGAAGTCCCTTATTGGTCCAACGATGGGGGAATTCACAGTGTGAGTCTTTCCAACCAACACAGGCTGCCACAGGAGCCACCACTAAGTATAATATACATATTAATATATATATATATATATATATATATCTTGTATATAGATACATGATTGTAAACGTCAATGACACCTGTATGACGTCAGCAGATGGTCTAAATCCAGGGAGCCGTTTGAGTTAGTATTCATCATTTACTGTAACAAAGCTGATAAATCTGTCCCTCACCTCCTGAACACCCCCTCCACCCCTGTGATGCCCATCCCATCCACTATGTCTCTGGAGAGTCTGAAGGGCACGGTCTCTGGTGTGGGGAGGATCTTCCCTTGTTCAAAGGCCACGCCTAAAGAGAACAGAACATAAAACAGCTGTAAAGTTGAACATCGTTTCATGAACAATCAAAGCTAAAAAGTTTTTTTTTTTTTTACCTAAATCGATGTGCACCAGTTCAGCGGTCTGCTCATCAATCAAGATGTTCTGGATATGTCGGTCCCCCAGACCTAAAATATATCCCACTGTGGAACAGTTGAAAAGTGATTCAATTTTTGCCACAGAGCTGTGAAACATGTCCGAGTCTCTCTGTCGTCAGGGCGATAAGTTCAAACATCTGCGCCTTGACCTTTGACCCACCTCTCTCTCTGTACACAACGTACCTATAGAAGACGTTGCCACACTGCGGGTGTAGGCCAGTCGTTTCTCCATCCACACGGCCGGATCCAGGAATCGTTCCATGCAGAAATACCTAAACACTGGCCTGAAGTTCTTACAAACCTCAGCGTAACTCTGCAGCTTCCCATCAAAGCCCAGTCGTTGAGCCTCCTACGAGGAGATGACGGAACATCAGGAATACGGTTTTATCTGTACAGACACTTATTCTCCAGAAGACACTCCCATCATCTCAGTACCATCATCTTCTTGCGGCAGGCCATGTTGGTCCAGTCTTGAGGTCTAAAGCGTTTGTGAGCTCCTTTATTGGGTTCCACCAGGAACTCCCCGATGGGAACGGTACCAGAGCACCACTCTAAGACGCCGCTGCGCTGTGAGAACGGCACCACCTGAGAATCAAGACACGGGTGACGTCAAACTGGACCTGTGGAGGTCAGTGGAGTGAAGAGGTTTTGGAAAGATCACAGCGACGATGATGCGTCTCTACCTTGTATCGTCTGATGTTGAGCTTCCTCTTACGGGTGTCTGCGTTTCGCTGCAGCAACATGGAGCACATGCTGAAGACCTGCTGCATCACCGCGTCCTGACGCAGGTCGTCCTGACCCTGTTCATGACAGGAAAACACAATGATTACATTATTTATTATCATATTATTGAGTTTTATTTGGCTTTGTCTTATGTTTTGGTTTCGTTGAACAGGGAGTTTTTTTTTTAATCCCTGTTTTTAATCTTGTAGCTGATGTAAAAAGTGAAAGTACAGGGAAAAAAAAACTGTAGGTCACAGTGAAAAGGCTTTAAAGAGGTAAATCATTAGCTCTGAAGTGTTTCTGTGTAAACACACACACACACCACTGAGGAAAGTCTTTATTATAGTGATGTTTGGCAACAAACAGTCTTTGTATTTGTCTGGAAACAAAGACAGGATTAATGATTGCCAATGATAAGAGGAAATATTTGCTGGTTTTCAACGGCGCTGGTCGATCTTTTCATCTGACTCACTGACAGCTCAGCTTCAAAGTCATCATTTGTTTTTAAAGCCAAGAACTCAGGTGTACAGCACAACCACAGACAACTGATGTGACTGTAACAAAGACACTGGATCACAACGATCTGAAACAATGACAATCAGTTGTGATCAGTTACAGCCGTGGCTGAACTTCCATGGTGTTTTTCAGAACATGGAACGTACCTTGACCAGCTGTCTCCTACTCTTGCCGTCAGAACCCAAACAGTCGATGATCTTGGGCAGGTTGACTCCCCCCGCCAGGTGATAGTGAGGCCTGAAGGACCTGACAGTCACGACGTTGTCATAGCAACCACTTGGCTCCACCTATTGGACAGGATTAAAGATGTAGTTACGCCGTGGCACAAACAGAGGTTGTAATGTTCCTCTGATCAGTCATACATACTGACTACACCAGACCTTTGGCCAGTGGGGGCGCTGTCGTCCTTCTTTTTTTTTACTTTTGTGCACCATATTCTGTACTGGTATTATTGTGCTGGTGCTTTATTTTCAGAGTTATACCATGACTGTTCATGTTGGCACAGAACTAGACAAGAATTTAGATCAATATCAGATAATATCCCTAATGCTGACATACAGTCATAAAAGAAACTACTGTCTTCTCTGAACTGAAACCCTGTAACTCTAGACAGTGACCAACGTGGACGTTTGACAAAGACGACACCTTTATCTCCACTGTAGGGATGGCCACCTCATCCAGGTCACTGATTTTCATGATGGGCTGATCCGCAGGAATGGGAATCGCCTCTGTCAGGAATTTACACACAGAAGTGTAGAGTTAAAATCAACACATCTGAGATTAGTCAGCAGTGATTTTTAGTCACTCAATTTGATCCAGCTTCTTACTTTTCTCAGTTTTGTGCCGTTTGGCGTCCATGTACGCCAAAGTGATGTAGGCGTCGCACAGACGCTCGATTCCTCGGATCATGCTGCCTCTCTTTTTCCTGACCGCACTGATGACCTTTTGGGCCACGTCTGAACGCTCCTGCAGCAGATATTTAAAAAAAATAAAGATAAGGGTTTTTTAAAAATCAATGTTATTTACATCTAGTATAAAACAAAAACCTTTGTCTGTACTTAAACCTTCTTCAAACAGTTTTTCTTCATTCATCACAATTCAATTTTTGATTATTTTGCTTTATCATCAAGTCTATTTTTTTTAGTGTTACTTGAATTGTATCTTTTTTCATACATCAAGTTTCAATTTCACACATCAAACTAAAGTGAATAGTTTCATTTGTATAACACTGACAACTGCTTCCCACAGTGTTTCATTTTCAACACGATCTGTTCAATATCTGAGGCTATGACAGAACGACAATACAATCTTTCATCTGTGTCATCATCAATAATAACTTGACGTCATTTTTTTTAAATCTCACCAGATCAAACGGTGACTGCTGTCTTACAGCTCCTCGTGCAGAACAGTTTCTGCTGAAGTTTTCGTCTTTGTTGGCATTTACCAAAGCGAAGATGATGAAGAGTGTGTGGTGCGGATGTTCCATAGAAACTCTGCAGATCAGCTGTGAACCAGCAGGTAAAAGTAACATTGATAAATATTTGGTATTTATATAAATGCTGTGAAATCTAATGGCCAAAACATCACATTTGTTTTCTGTGAAATTACATCATTCAGTACGTCACTGAAGCCAACGTCTCCAGCTGGACCTGCTGCCATCTTGGTTCCCATGCGTGCTGCCAGCTGATACATGAGGGGCAGAAACTTATAGGAGGGAATCTGCTTCACCCCTCTCTGAACGACAACAAAGACAACAGCCAGAAAGTTCCTGTGATTCAAGGCTTTTTTTGACGTATTTTTGCATCTTTTTTGTCAGACAAGTGTGAAGCTGGAGAATTTGTAAACAAACCTTCATCATGTCATCCACTGATCTGACCCCAGCGTTCTCCAACCACAGCGAGGTGAGTCTGAAAACCCAGGTGTCATGTTCCCTGCCCTGCTCCAGACAGTGGATGTAGTTCTCCACCGCCTTACAAAGGAAGCGCTGTCGGTCCGAGTGGAGGTTGGAGAGAGCTTTCTCATCCAGGTCCAGTTCTTTCTTCACTTTTATTGTGTACCTACAACAGTGACAGCAGGATCTAACTGATTCATTACAGTACAAAAAAAAGTGATTTCCAGATGATGAAAAAAGACATCCAGACCTGTTGGAGTTGACTTTTCGCTCCTCCATCAGGTCCACCTCCTCCTTGGCTTTCTTCAGCAGCGCCTGCTTGTTCTCAAACTCGGACGACTTCATGTAATTGTCGATGCTCTGATACTGGGCATCAGAAAAGCGGGCCAGAGAGAGGAAGGCTTCAGTCTGTTGAGTGTGGAGGCCGGGATCGTGGACTCCTAACTCCTCCTGGATCACCTCCACAGCCTGAGGGGAGGGTGAGGGCGTGGGTGAGGGTGGGGTGGGGGGCAGATGTGAACTTCAACACCAGACACCAAAAGAATGGACATAATGTGCAGCATGATCTAACTGTGTTAGCTGGGTGACAATGTGGAAACGTGCACGCTCACACGTGCACACACACTAAACATCAATAATTTAATACTGTTCGTATAAGTCTGTCACAGCTGCAGGAAAAACTGTAAAAAACTGTGTCTGAATTCTGTCTTTGGGCCTGTTTCTAATTCATCTGTTAGTAAATAAATTATTTATTATACGTGTGTGTGTGTCTGTTTGCCAGTGGCCACAAACTGCCCTGGTGTTGGATAATAAATCTTTTTTTTTCCCTCAGAAAGAGGCTTATTTCTGCACAGACCGGCGTCTGGCTCAGTTTTATCAGCTCCAAACAGACTTGTTTGATGGAAATTAACAGGATTTTTCAGTAAATTCCTAAATGCTTTAAAAAAAAAAAAAAGATTACGATGAGCTGTTTCTCTCTGAGCAGACATAACAGGTGTAATGAATGGGTCCAGGCCGGGTTCTGAACCCCATCTTACCCTCTCCAGATACTTCTCCAGGATGACTCCAGGACTTTCCAAGCAAGTCTCAGCCAGCCAATTACCACACAGCCTGAGGCTCTCGGTGTAAACTGGAGCCAGAGCAGGATTGAAATCCACCTGATAAACACAGCACCGGTCACAGAGTCGTGGTTGTTCACTGAGGCATTCTGGGTAATACGTGTAGTAGATAGAAATGTTTGTTCTGACCTTTTCCTCTTCCAGGACGTGTATCATCTGTCTTAGGAGGCCTAAAGCCAGACCCTGCTCCCCCTTCGCCCAAAACACTTGGGCCTCCTCCAGTTGCCATGACGACACAGGTAAAGAAGCCAGGGACCCCCCACCATTCTGTTTCATCTGGTACACTGCTCTTTCTGCTTTCTGTGCAGGAGTCACAGCACCGTCAGTGGGTGAGTGGAGGACAGTGGTACTACAGCGGAACCTCTAGAACCTAGAACTTATGCCACTCCACACTGTGGCGCTGTCTCGCTCTCTGTCCCTCTCTGGTTATTTTACCCATTTTTATAACAATAATATAAAATGTTGTCTTAATTATTATTATTTTATATGATCAATATATTTGTTTATATACATATTTTCTATGTTTAGATGGAGGGGATTTAAATGTAATAAATTAATAGGATTAGGATAAACGGATTAAACCCGTATCTTGATGCCCCACTGTACACACACACACACACACACTCCACCTGTGTATTGCCAGCCTTGCGGGCCGCCTGGCACAGTTCCATGAGGTGATCTGTGAGCACAGAGCTGATGCACTCTCTGCTTTCCACGTTTCCCACACTGGTCATCAGAGTGTCCTGGGCCACAAAGCGGGCTGAAAGAATGGGCTCCACTAAGGCGAAGTCACTGTCAGCCAATAGGAGTGAGTGCTGCCGCCACTGGCTGCAAATGTCCCTCAGTGTAACGTCTGAGAAAGCTCGGATAAACACAGGACAAATGTGAGACTGTGAGAGAAAGAGAGGAAGAGAGGAAGGGAGAGAGAAAATATTTTGCACTTTTAGTGAATCAGACGTCGTTACCTTGAAAACAGCAGTTTGGTACTCTCCAGTTCCTTGAGGATCTGCAGGTTCCTCAGAGCTGGGTACAGAGAAGACACCGCCTCCAAACTGCCTCTGCACAAATCCTCCACCTCTGCCCTCCTGGAGCAACAACAGTAAACACAGATGAGTGGATGGAAATAAATTCTGAAATAAACCAGGACAAAGAGCAGAGAGCACAGAACACAGCAGGTTTCTGCAGGTGAGACTCACCTGGCCTGTTTGAGCGTGCCCTCAAATACAGAAAACTCTCTGTCCCTCAGTGCTTGTAGGGAACAAAACACTGATTCATGGAAACCTGGTTTGGTTTTTTCATTCCTGACACATTTGGAGAACACGGTTGTAAATGAGAGACATTCAGAGCAGCTGTAACTGTGATCAGAGCCTGATTTATTCACTCACCTCTCTGACAGCTCACAGTCCCACTGAGTGTTTCTCCACGCCGCCTGGAAGCGCAGTTCTCTTAACTCCTCCCCCCACTCAACCCCCTCACTCTCCAGGCCTCTCATGTAGGTCGTGACGATGCTGCTCAGACCAAAGTTTTGCAAACCCTGAAAGTACGCAGTGGAAGGAAGGAAGGAAAATAAATAATAATGTAATTTACATACATTTATAATCAAGTACCACAATCAAGAGATGGATAAATAATCCTCCTCTTAAAGAACAACCATTTATTATGAGATACTTCCTGTTGTGACCAGTTGATCTTGAACAAACAATTATTTAAGTTGGTGTAGTTATAGTTATTTTCAGCTGTTCTTGCCTCTACGATCCCCACTTGTCTAGTGGCCACAGGCAACGAAGAGTGAAGGTCGTAGGAGGTCAGGGCCCTGCCCCACATTGACTCATGCTCATAGGTTCGTATCCTAAAATTCAACAAAAAAAAAAGCAAAGTCTTTATGTTTGCAATGAAAAAAAAAACATTTCAAGGCATCAATAAGCTGTGGGTTTGAAAACGAAGCTACAGGTTTCCATACCTGGTGAGTGAACTGGTCATGGTCTCCCCCCCACACCCGTACAGACTGTCAGGCTCTCCGATGCTGCGGTAGACTTCAATCAGAAGCTCCTGTGAAATAGGAACTGCATCAAACTGTGTTCTGGCTTTGGGTTGACTGAACTTTTATTACTGGAGGAAGAAGCGTCTGACCTGCAGACTGATGTTAGCGTCCTCCACACTCTTCTTCGTCAGGCTGGTGATGGTGAAGGTCTGGCTGTGGTCTTCAAAGTTCAGTCTGTAGGCTGCTCTGGACTTGGTTCTGAAGATTTTAAACAAAAGCTTCATTAATATCAATGATAACTTATTCAAATATTGAAATAAACACCAAAAACTGAAACATGAAGATTGTTTGATTTATTTCTGGTTTTCTCACGAACCTGCGACTTTCCTCCATGTTAGCTTTGATGTTGTCCACGTAGATCTCGACGTACAGCAGAGCGGTGAAGTGAGCAGCACAGGACTGTGCAGCTTTGGCCACTTCCAGATAATTCAGTTCCAACCAGAAATTTGAGTTGCACACGGTTCCACACAAATTACTATAAATAAATTAAAAAAAAAATCTTTTCTAAAAATACACCATAAGTATCAAAGTAGTGATTATACAAAATACCAACACAAACCTATCAGAAGCCAGTGATCTGGGCTGGTGCCTCAGATAGTCAATAACTGCCAACATGGTTCTCAGAGAGGCCTTGTCATACAGACCCACACTGGCTGTGTCCGACTCTGTTAGAATAAAAAAAGGTTTGTATTCAGTTATAATAAACCACTAAATACTAGGGTGTCAGATATTGGGATGACAATGCTGCCATCTAGTGATTTTTTTAGAGCACACATCATTTGGAAACCCAGGAGTTGCATTATCTGGTTTCATTATCACAGGGAAAAACCTATAATGATCCTTAAAGATGTGACATAATTATGCTAATATCAGTTGGCCAATTGTAAATACATACAAAAAACCGTGTGTGTCCACAGATGGAGGATGTATCAGAGGAGGACACAGTTCAACTCACTGTATTTAAGGTATATTTCAGTGTGAATCATACTGTACCGTGGTCAGAGCTCAGAGGTGTGGCCGAGTGACTGGAAGCTGCAGAACTTCTGCAACAAAAAGTGAAGAACTCCTGGACGTGGGAAAAAAGACCCCCCCGGGAGCCGTCAGAGTCGTTCAACAGGATGGAGTGCACGATGAGCGGCAGAAGCTTCTGACAGCAATCCAGCTTCACCTGCAGGCGAACAGATGTCATGACACGCAGTCAACATTAGAACAGACTCTGAAGATGAAATAAAACAGGGCTGTCAGAATTAACAGGACAATTAATTTGTGGAAATGAATCAGATTTTAATGCATGGGGAGAATAATGCCACGCAAAAAAAATCTCACTGTACATTTGACAACCAAGCAGAGACTGTTTCACCAACAGAACATAAATTCTGAGGTTGTTGAGTGAAGCCTCACAGAGTTCTTGTCCTTACCAGGCAGAGGGGTTGTGAAAGGAGAAGAGCCTCACTCTTGACGCCTCCACTCTCCAGCAGGGCGGCGCACAGTGCCTTCAGCCAGGCTCTGTGGCCTCCATCCTGAGGAATCCAAAACTCCTGGCTCCTCAGCTTCTCCCTGGCCTCTGAACTCTCCAGAGCACTCACAGCCGTAACCTAATGACAGTCACTGCATTTAAAAATGTCCACTGACGTCTCTCCAACCACTGTGGTGAGACAGAAAGGCTCATCTGACACACCTGACTCTTGGCCTTCCTGAATGGATTGAGGTACGCCAGCAGGGGGTCTCTGTTGTTTTTGTGCTGCTCCCAAAAGTCCAGTCCACACTGAGCTGCCAGGATGTTCTTCACACACTGAGCTGCAGCCCGTCTCACCTCCATACTGACAGAGAGACAGACGGTGAAGGTCAGTCCAAGTTGGTAACTCTTTGTCAACCTTCCATTGCTGTGGTTCAGGGTCCAACCTACCGTTGATGGATCAGAGCATCGTTCATGCAGTTGAGGACGATGAAGACGCACCGCAGCTCCGTGGAGTCGAAGAGAGACACGGCCTTCTCAAAGAGGGGGTCTCTGCCGTGCAGCAGGGCGATGGTGGACAAGTCCACAGGACCCAGTTCTCCCAGACAGCTGCCTGCCGCCTCTGTGACAGAAGGTTTCAGTTTGATGAAGTGAACATTAAAACCATCAGCAACAGTGGTCTGCCGTGATCAGGTCTGTGTTCTTAGTTACCCAGTATCTCTGCTCCATCTGGGTGGTTGGCTGCCAGCTTACATAACTGCAGTAAACTCAAGACCAGCTTCACCAGCACACTGTCACTGGGCTCAGCTGGAGGAAAGATCAAAATAAGAACAAATCATTTAAAAAAAAAAACAACAATCATTTTTACACTTTTTCTATCAATTATATTTCTCTCTACTGTGATACCATGACACGCTTTAAGCAGGTCTCCGATCTGTCCCTTTTTATCATGCAGTTGTCTGGTCAGCTCTTTAAGTCCTTCAAGTCGGGTCAGAAGTAAAGAGTCACACGAGGACACTGACAGGAAGTGTTCAATCTCCTGTCCAGAGAAGAGAAAAAAAAGTCCTGCTACTGATCTGCCATGTGTGTGTGTGTGTGTGTGTGTGTGCATCTTTATCCCTGAGTGGCAGACAAAACCCAAACTCAAATCAATGTTTGTGTAATTTGTTAACAAAGAATTTAAAAATAGTTGATCCATCTGAGTGACATGTTTGTTACCAAACCTGTTGCAGTGTGAAGGTGCCTGTGTTATACTTGAGTCTGTTCTGAACCAATCGCAGTTCTTGAAACTCAGGAAGGTCAGGAAATGGCTCCAACCTGCAGATGGCGCCTCTTAGCTTCTGTTGGTTCTCCATTACTAGAAAGTGCAACAGACGGAGCACCTGAGGAGGAGGCATTCAATGGTTTTAATGTATGAACGTCCTCTGTTTGAAGAAATGCACAGGTTTATTTAAATGTCTCAAACGTAGCATCGATGTAGAGGTCACTCACCCGCTGTGACATTAAGGGTTGCCTCTTAACCTGAGCCGTGAGAGTTCCAACAATAACCTGTAGGTGGCAGTCTAGAGCGTCATCACAGAACTGCAAGGCAGCCTGACACACAGAGGTCAACAGGTCGCAGCACAAAGAGAGGCTTCGGGTAGAAACCTCATTGCATATCTGTGTCCTGTGGAAGTCCAGAACATCATCAACACATCAACAGCTTCAGAACTCTACTGAACTTTAAAACACTACAATCCCCACAACACAAATAAAATACAATTACAATGCATTTTTAATATTGAAATTTTAATTCATCATCACTTTGCCCCACCTCCTGCAACAGTGTCATGTCCAAAGATCCCGCCCCTCATCTTTGGTAACAGTGTGTGAGCTAACCTGCTGTTGATCTGGTGTATGAGTGTGTAGATGATGTCTCTGAGGACGAAGGCCCAGGCCCCTCCAAGTCCGTCCTTCACCTCTTTGAGCAGCAGGTTGACGAACAGATGATACATCAGGAGAATACGATGACGCTCGTAGTCGTTGGTCGTCTCTGCTGCTCGCTCACACACCGCCAGCAGGATCCTCTGGATAGAAATCTAAACAGAAAAAATAAGTAACTGCAAAACAAAGTACAGTGTGGATAAATGACGGTTCAGACGGTGATGAAGAGAAGGAGACTGACTGGGGTTTTGGAGAGGATGGTAACCAGTGACTTGTTGCTGGTGCTGTGACACTTGCTCAGATAGTCCAGAGTAGCTGTGATGACCTGAGAGTTGAAGTACGGAGGGTTTGGAACTGGGTCCAGTTCACTACAAAGTGTCAGACAGTTCAAGAAGAAGAAGAGAGCTTTATTTATCAGAAGAAGAAGACAGCTTTATTTATCAGCCACACACACATATATACACACACACAACAACAACAACAACAACAACAACAACAACAACAACATGTCCTGTGGATTTAACCTGTCCAGACACTTCATACACAGTTCTCTACCGTCCTAAAGACGGGGGCAGGTAAACTGGTAGAGGAGTGAGAGTTAGGGAGTTAACCTATTTACCCTATGAAGCGTTTCAGGTCTCCTCCATTATCATCCTCCTCCTCCTCCTCTTCCTCCTCCCCACCTCCTTCATACAGTGTCATCAGAAGCTCCACCACTATGTCGGCCAGGTTGGTGTGGATGAGAGAGTCAATTTGCTGTAGAATAAATTAACCAGGGATAAAACATATAAAAACGATTGAATACAGGTTTCTGTTAAGGCTTTGGTTACTTCAACTGTACTCTGATAGTACAAGTACATACTCAGAACATGTAGTTGTGTATAAACTTAAGTACATCAACTAAAAGCAGGAAAGATTACTCCAACTCTTCACAGAGGAGTCCAGACTGGTGGACTCCTGGTTGACTCCGGCTCCGTTCACCTGTTTGCCCAGACAGTCTGGGTCCTTCAGCAGATCGTACACTCTGTGGGCCGTCTCTCTCTGCCGGGTAACCTGAGAGTCCTGCCCAGGCAGGGCAAAGTAGGGCAGGATGTTGACCATCAGTTTGGGGAAGCAGTCAGCCAGCAGCTCTTTCCAGTCCTTCTCCAGGAACCTGCCAATAGACTTCACCTGCTCAAAATCATCCAGGAAGACCAGGTGAGGGACCAGCACCTGGTAGGAAAAGCTGGAAAAATAAGAAACAAGACGGATGTTGAAAAGAGGGGTTCAGAAACACGTAACCTTTGGACCTGGTGATGAATACAAACTTAAATCAAGCAGAGTTACTATCTTCACCTAAGTTAAAAGTCTCACCTGTAGAAATCTTTGACAGTCTGGAGGTCCAGCAGTGTGAAGGGGAAAGAGCCAAGTGTGTATCTATCGTCAGACTGTCTCTGTGCAAGCCACTCTGAAACCAGGTAGTACAGGTGGGAACTGATGAAGGTTTTCACACTCCTGTAGCCCAGTTCTCTGGACACACAGGCCAGCATCTGTGGTAACACAAACACGTTGTCAATAAAACTGTTAGTTTTATTCAAATCTCCGT